CCAGCATTTAAGGTGCTATAGGGGGTTGTGGAGTGGGTGCTGATGAGGGTGCAGGGGTGGGTGCTGGTGCAAGGGGGTGTTCTGCAGCAGCCAGCGCTTTAATATACCCTCGTCCCCTATGTATCTGCACACTCGCAGACAGCTACACCTATGTACACCCCTATAGCACGCTAAAAACACATACGCAAATGCCCATACACCCCTATACAACACATTTGCATACACTTATGTGTATAGGCATACACCCATACAGGCACAAAAGGCTATGTGTATGTGTATGTGCACTTACATATGTGCACACACCTATACACACCCCCCTATAGCCATGCGTAGACTGGGACAGACAGAGGGGACACCGAGGCAGGACGGAGGGGGTGTCACACGCCGCAGGGTGCTGCGGGTTCGCGGCGGGGCCTGGCACGGGGTGACACGGCCGAGGGGGGCTGCTGGGTGACTCACAGGCAGCTGCACGGGCACACGTGCCCCCGCACACGCGCATCCAACCCCCCCGCCAACCCTGCACCAGGTCACGCTGGCGGGCACGAGCGCCTGTGCACGGAAATGTGTATGTGCATGCATGTTAACGTGAGCACGCACACGTGTAGGTGTGTGCGCATCGCTGCACATGCACGCGCACCTCTGCACGCATATATACACGTGTGCATGCGCATACATGCACGTGCACACAGACGTATGCAGTTACGCATGCATGCAAACACGCACCTGGAGCTCTGTAAGCGTGTATACACGTGCACACACACTGATGTTTACACGTGCACTTGTTCACACCGTGCTGCACACGCACACAAACGGATACGTGGAGGGACATGTATGTAAATGCATGTGCAAACCTACCTCTGTACAGATACACAAACACATGCACCCATGTGCAGGCACACACACGTATGTGGTCACAAACGCATGCAAACACACCCATGCTAGCACATGGAGCTCTGTAAGTATGCATCCACATCTGCACACACAGAGACATGCACATGTTCACACACTGCCACACAGCTAATGCATGGATGAACGTGTGCATAAATGCACATGCAAACCTACCTCTGCATGCATACATGCACACACATATGTACATGCACATGTGTATGCAGTCCTACACATATGCAGGCATGCACGTGGAGCGCTGTAAGTGTGCATACACACACAGATGTGGATGTGACCTGTTCACTGCTGCGGATACAAACATATGCATGGATGAACACATGCACATGCAAACCCGCCTCTGCATGCATAAATGTGTTCACATGCACATATGTACTTGCGCACACACATGCAGTCACACATGCGTGCAAACACACCCACAGTTGCACATGGAGCTCTGCAAGTGTGCACAACCCCCCCCGCTGCATGTGCGCACACACACATGTGCACAGATGTGTGCATAAATGCGCGTGCAAACCCACCTCTGCACGCACACCTGTGTGCACGGGCACGTACGTATGTACACGCCTGCACACGCATGCAGCCAGCCCACGGGGACGCGAGGTCACCCCACGCCTGGGGGCTGGAGCCTCGGCAGCTGCCTGCCCTGCCTTCACCTCTGCCCAGCTGAGCCCCCCCAGCTCGTGACAGCGATGATTAACGTTCACTGCAGCGTGTCCCCCACCCCAGCACCCTCGGGGCCACCCCGGACACCGTGTCCCCTCCAGCTCCTGTCACCCCAACCGTTTGGGGGGCACCTTGACCCTGCTGAGCCCATGGCCAAATCCTGCAGGGTCTCAGCATCCTTGTGGGGGGGGGTCCTGGACCAGCTGCTGGGGGTGGGGGGACAACCTGGGTGGCTGCCCTTAGCAGGAGGAGTTGTCCTCTCCAACGTGGGTACCCTTGGGTGGTGACAGCCACCGTGGACGTTGGCCCAGGGAGTGACACTGAGTGACTCCTGCCACCTTGGGTGGTGTAAAGGACCCGATCCAGCCTCCCGGAGACGTGGTCCATCCCTTGTCCTCCACAGCTAGCACCTGGCCTGGGGGCTGCCTCGGGGGGACGATGACCCCCACAAAGACCCCCACGGCGGGGATGGAGGATGTTGGGCACCGCGTGAAAGCCAGTCCCGCTTGGAGCCACGAAGTGCTGGAGGTGGCAGCTTGGCTTCTGCTCCTGCCACCAAGGTGTCCACCAGCAGCACGGCAAATACAACATCTTGCACGGCTGGTGAGAAGGATTCCCTGTCCCTGAGGTCCGGTGGTGGCCACAGCATGGTGGCCTGATGGAGAGCATCTCCAGGAGCTGCGACGCCAATGGTGGTGGCCATGGCGTGGTGGCCTGATGGAGAGCATCTCCGGGAGCCGTGATGCCAGAGCACGGCTCTGTTGGAGGCACCGTGCAATGGAGGACGTCGCACGGTCAAGATGCCATTTCTTGGTCACCTTCTGGGTCTGTTGAACTGAAGCCTCTCCAGGAACATCGTGGGCTCTTGATTTCCCTCCATCACCAGGTGCCAGCGCTTAACACCACAAGCTAATGACAGTGTCTGGATCGTGGGACAACTCCCACCCTACATACAACCCAACTGGGGCGTGCACGGTTGCTCTGGCCAAAGCTGGTTTCCTGCATCTACATCTCCTCTAGCCAAAGTCTCAGTCAGCCCAGGAGGACATGGTGGTGATGCTCTGCTCACCGTGAAGATCACACACTCCACTTTTCCATAGGAGCTGTTCCTGTAGGATCACATTGGCTTGGCCATGTTGGGACAACCCACCCAAGGTTGGGTTGGAGACCATCAAGCTCCACCACCAACCTAGAAATGGGTTTATGGTTGGTCCCATTCACTTCTCCACCACATCACCACGCCAAAAAACCAACCACCAAACCCTCTCGGGCTCTTTTATTTATTTTTTTTTTTTTGGAAACATTTTAATAGTTATTGAATGTTCTACATCTTACAGTAAATATCGTACAGTTACAAACTCTTGGCTGAAATCTGTCAGGGAGAACACGACCTGATCTTCAGAACCAAAACCAGAACAGAAAACAAACAGGAAAAAAAAAACAACCCCAAATTTACACGTCAGATGGACAAACCGAGGCTGTGGGGCTTTCTAGGGCATCAGTTCAAGGCCATGTTCCCTACACACCTTTGAGACTTAGACTTGGAAGACATGGTTACTCTTGGTTTTAATTATTTTTTTCATGTTTTTTTGGTGTTTTTTTTTTTTAATCTGTTTTTGCTTAAGACGTCCAATAATATTTAAAAATGAGCTGGCCTGGTGGTCGAAATGAATTTAAAAATTAATTACATAGAAAGGGGTAGGAGCACGGCATGGGTTTGCTCTGTGCTATGGGAATGGGAGGGTTTGGGTGCGATCCTGCACCCCGCTGTCTCATTTTCCCTTCCTTGCTGTGCTTCCCGATGGCTGCCGACCCTACAAATCTCTCCCCACCCAGCGCCCTGATCCTGAACCTGCTTCGCCTGGGGAAAAACCCAGCTCACCCAGCTCCATCCCTTGCAGGAATATGCAGTGATGCTGCAGGTGGCTGCGTTGCATCAGGATTTTTTTCCCTACAAAGAGCACAATTGAGTGTTTCTAACTGGGAATTGCTGCTGTTAAACCACATATTTTGCTATTCCTTCTTTGCAAACATCCCTGTAACAGGTTATTTTACCCAATTACTGGTGAATCTGTGAGCACCATGGTGCAACATGCCAGAAAAATGCCTTTTCCAAGCTCTTCTCCCACCCAAGCTCCTCAGCAGGCTTTATTTTCCTTTTTCCCTATGGGAATGCTAGCACACGGCAGACAAAATATCTGGAGCCTGATCCTGCTGGCAGCCCGATGGGCTCAGGAGCCAGCTCGGCACTCGCGGGAAAGCGAAGGGAAGATGGGCAGAGGGTCGCCGTGTTTCAGGGATGATAGATGGAGGGCCTGAAAATACTGACAATTGAAAAAAACCAAAACAAAACCTCTGGATTAACGGGTATCCAGCGGCTCTTATTGCTGTTGTCGGCTGGTTGGGTTTTCCTATTGAAAATAAACCCCCAAATGTGTTTTTTCTCCCTCTAAGAAAGCAAGATGTGATTTCATGCCCTCCGGCCAGGGATTGCATCATCCCAAATCCCCCACGGGGACGTATCTGCCGCTGGGATGCAGGAGAGGAGGGAGGGGATGGCAAAGGGGGGGGTCTCTCCGGGAAGGACCATATTCAGCGAGATGCCGGAGGCTGGGAGAAAAAAAAAAACCTGATACTCTGAAACATCCATCATTAAAACAAACCCCGTAACTAACACTTCATGATAATTAGATCTTGAAACTGCAAAAAAGCTGGACTGGGTAATTATTATTCATAAAATACAGGAACAAATCCTCACCCGGAGGGTTCAGCCGCTTGGAGGCGTGATGGGTACAGGCTCCAAGGGGCTCGCTCGTGTTGGGGGCCACCACCACTATTAATATGCTTCCCCCCGCCCCAGATCGTGTATTACAGCTCATGTTTTAAAGCAAAGATAACGGCAGGGATGGGTTAATGGTCATAACAGCGGTTTGAGAGTTATTTTCCTTCCTCTTTAGCTGGAATTTTAATCTCTGAGACACTTGGCTAAGGGTGGTTTAACCCCTCCTGCTCTTCCCTGTTAATGCCTGGTGTGATCCTTCACTATGGGAAACCCTTTTCCTTAACCTATGTCGGCAAAGCTTTGTTGGAGTTAATTATTTGAGAAGCTGGTGGCCTCCATCAGTGTCCCCCCCACCAAGGGAGTCCCCCACCAGGCTGTGACACCCCAGGACCTTCACTTAAGCCATGACTTGGCCAAGGAAAGGGCTTGGGATCATGGGCTTTCCTCCCATCCTTCCATCTATCCGAAAAACCACATCCCTCCACAGGGAAGGGGAGAGGGCTGCAGGTCACTGCTGGCATGAGCCGGGGGGGGACATCAAGCCCCCCATCCCCACACAGTGGCAGGGAGCATCTCTCCACCACCACGGCCCCATGAAGCCACCTTGGGAAGGAGCTACCCAAGCCTGGAGCCATGTGGTGGCCCCAGAGCGATGCAGTGGTCCAAGCCTAAACCCAACACCCATTGCCAAACGTGCTCACCGAAGCCTCTCACCCAACAGACAGCGAGTATTTCACCTCTTCACATCCTTGTTGAGTTAACAAGTATTTCTGCCTGGGCATAACAGGATGAGGAGCATCAGATCTGCTATTGATCCAAGTGAAGGAATTAAAACTAAACCGTCCCATGTCAGATCTCATTAGTGGTAACACTGAGTGACCCTCCATGCTCAGCTCCTGGAGCTTTCTACCCCACCTTTAGTGTTTTCTTTCCTTTCAGGAGAAAGCCCAGCATCTCCTTCCTAGCCGTGGGCCAAAATTTTAGCAGTTGTTCCTAAAGCAGTTAAGGGTGAAGGGTGCCTAGGCCAGTGGTAGGACAGTGTCTGCTGGGAAAGGTCCTCCTCTGCAGAGCCTGGGCTGTCATAACAAAGCTCCTTGGACCCTGCAAGTCGCAGTGCCGTTACGTTGGCTAGAGCTTACTCTGTCCTGTGTGTTTCAACACTCACAGACAGCTCCTAATACATAACAAGAAGTCAACACTGAGAGCAAAAAAAGGTATTTGAGAGATCTTCAATTCCTGTGATCTATTGTGTTTCGGGGTTTTTTTGGCCCAGGTTTAACTGTAGCATGCTACAAACAGTGGAAGGATGATGTAGTATTGTTATTTCCAAATGTCCCGTTGCTTTTTATGTGCTAAATCTTGGCTTCGCCAAGCTGAATGGGGCAACTCTCTGATTATCTACTCTTTTTTTTTTCTTTTCCTTTTATATGAACCCAAAGTATTACATGGGAGAAAGCCACCTTCCCCACCCCACGGCATTGGTGTTCAGTCTTCACCCACTTTGTTCTCCTTGAGGTTGGGAAGGTCAACCAGAACTTTGCTAGATTCTTCTTTAAAACCAGCAGAGCCAATCAAATGACCCCCCATACAGAAGTGCCGGTGCCAACACCCAACCTGACAAACAACCCTGGACCAACCAGTGGTAGGACTAGTCCTCTTGAGTCCCCAAGCTTGTTTCTCCCCATTTGGACCATGCTTATGGGAAGGAGCTCCAGTAGCTCCTCCCAATGGCAGCAGAAGCCAAGCTGGGAGACACCACCAAGAGCAAGGAGGTCTCACTCAGGTGCCAACAACTGGTCACCTTGCTCTTCTGAAGGACCCTCCAGTCTGACCTCTACACCGTGTCCTGGTCAAGGTGACCCTCCAGTGTTGGTCTCCACTGCCTTCACCTCCATCTGGAGATGTGATCCAGGTATGACCAAAGCAGAGCAACCAGCAGAGGCATCTGGGCACTGACTCAACACCACGCATGGGTTGGAAACCCATGCCAGGCAGTGCCAGGAGGGATTTCCATCCACATCTCCTATCCCGACTTCTTTAAAGGCTCTGGATTTGGTCCGTTGTGACAACCTCGGAGCCCAAGAGACGTGAGAGTTGTTGCAAACACGCCACCAAGTGAATGTAACTCTTTTGGCACACTTGAGGGAAAAATCAAAACCCAACAACATTTTTGTCTTAGGAACAAAAAAGAAGAAAAACCTTGTTTCTATGCTGGGTTTAGTGATAAGGATTTAAAAATAAACTGGCCGCAAGCATTGTCTGCAAATACGAACTCTTTCTCTGCTGCCCTCAAGACAACTTATTGCTCTACTTGGGCACCCCAAGGTGGGATGTCACCGGCTGCAGTTGGCTTCTCATTCTTCTGCCCTTGGGTAAGCCAAAACCCCCAGAAATTACCCCTGTGCCCACAGCCCCTGCATGCCTGTTATCTCCCAGCCCGGTCCACGTCAACTGTGGATCACCTTCCTTGCTCTCACCTTTTCTCAGGTGCCTTCCCGTGAGGAAGGCGACGTGTTTATTGCTATTGCTTCCTCTTCCCCCCACTTCTCCCCACTCGCCAAGCAGAGCAGCCAGACATCATCCCCCTCTCTGGCCTTTCTCTATGGTGCTGGGATTTGTGCTTGGATGAACATTTCTCCTGGAAGTTTCCGAGCCCAGCTGTAACCCAAAGAATGGCAAGGGGAGCACCTCGTTTGCCACGGAGGCGTTGCAGTTTGGTCTCAGCCCTGCCAATGACACGGGTGCGAGGTGAAGCCACCCATTTTCCCCCTCGCCCTGCCTCAAAGACTCTTCTCCATCAACCAGCCGCCCTCTTTCCCCACACCACCAGACTCTGGAGAAGCTCTTCAGACCAACCCCTGGACCTGCAAAAGCTCTTCAGACCAGCCCTTGGACATCTCCTCGCTTCCTTCAACAGCCGCCCGGCACACCTCTGCCTGCAAACGGTAGCCACGCAAGGAAGGAGCTGCCTTCTCCCTCACGCAGCCCCAGGACATGGCTGATGGGGAGCATCTTGTTTTCCCAAGAGGTGCAAGATGCTACCAGGGCATGTGTTTCTCCGCTGCTCTCTTCCCATCACGCAAGATCCGTTTGCCCAGTTGGAAAAAGCAGACCAAAGACCCGATGGTGACCAGTCCTCCTACTTCCTAAGACAAGTGTGTTACATCGCTAATTATATTTATATTCTCTTACTCCTACAAAAGAAGGGATGAGTTCAGAATTTCACTGCAGATAATGCATTTATAATCTATCACGACAGCTATTTGGAAGACACCAATTTTCTTGTAATATGTTATGGAAGATTAAATAATTTATATTATTCAACTAAAAATACCCAAACCAAATCGGAATAAGCCTGCCTACCAGCGCTGTGCTTTTCACATAGTACCCTGAACATCAACCACTCTCACTAGCCAAAGAAAATCTAGGCTCTTGTCAACAACAACAACAACAGAAAAATAACAAAAAGAACCCAAACAAACAAGAAGTGGGGGGATCTTTGCACCACTCAGCTGGGCAATGCTGGAAAAGTGAATATTCTGAGCTTTCAGATGATAGGACCAAAGAGAGAACTTTACTATTGCTCAGTGTCAGTATGTGTGTTACACAATTTATGTGGGTTGGGGAGGAGGAAGGGGGAGAGGAAAAAAAAAAAGAGGCAGAAGATTAGAAAAAGCAGCTTTTACAAAAACCACTAAAGAATGCATAAAGTGACCCTTGCACTTTTTTTTTTCTTTTGTTCTTGCAAACAGACGAGGTGCTGCAGTACAGCGGCCACAGCACCGATGTAAGACTTGTGTAGTTGCATACAATGTTTGACTCCGGATCTGGAAGAGAGCAAACATATTAAAAATAAGGAGTTAGAAGCAAGCAGTACAGGATCAGAGAGGACTGTTCTCCTCTCCTCTGTACCCCTGCACTGTGCGCAGCACGTATAGCTGATGTATACGGGATTTAACCATCCCTTGCGCCGCTCTGCGGGCAATTTCTTGGGCACAGAGCTGAGAAAGCAGCAGCTCGCCGGTAATATCCAATGCACAGGATTAAAAATATGCAGATGGGATGCTCTCTGCTAATTGCACAACAATTTGTCATGGGCAGGATTAGCCCAGTGTAATGTATACAGCAAGGAGAGATTTCAGATAACCCCCCCGGGCTGGATGAGCTCTGCGCTGCCTCCCTGTGCAGAATCATGCGTTCCCATCAGCTGCATTGCCCGTTAATTGGGCATGATGGACCAAGGGCTCCAGCAACACGCAGAGGGCGTTTAAACAAGCAGCTGGGATTTCTGGGATCCTTAGCAGGACATGAACCTGCAGCTGGTAGCAGGCAGCTGCACGCAACCCTGGTGCTAATGAACAGGCAGGGTGCAGGCAGCTGCATGCAGCCCCGGTGCTAATGAACAGGATGATCTCCCACCGTGTTTTAGCAGGGGAAAAAAACCACATATTCAAGTGATGCTGAAGATGGGGAGGACTCTTTATCAGGCAGTGTAGTGACAGGACGAGGGTAATGGTTTTAAACTGAAAGAGGGTAGATTTAGATTAGATTTTAGGAAGAAATTCTTTACTATGAGGGAAGTGAGACACTGGAACAGGTTGCCCAGAGAGGTTGTGGCTGCCCCATCCCTGGCAGTGTTCAAGGCCAGGCTGGATGGGGCTGTGAGCAACCAGGTCTAGTGGAAGGGGTCCCTGCCCATGGCAGGGGGGGGGTGGAACGAGATGATCTTTAAGATCCCTTCCGACCCAAACCCATTCTGTGATTCTATGAAAGAGCGTGATGCGTCCAAAACCTTAAAGCATGACAATTTCCACCCTCACAGTGCCTGACTGCACTCAAAGCGGCTCGATGCCACTGAGGTCACTGGTAAAGCCTTGCATGCAGCGAGCAGCAAGATGTCAGGTCAAGGTACGCCGTGCTTTGCTAACACCCTCTGTAGCCCCATGACAGTGCGCGATGCAGCTATCCCTGCCGGGGAGCAGTGCTAAATGGCTCTTCTGGAGTCAGCATCGCCCGGACAAAGAGATTCAGCAGCTTTGTAGGGAGGAGAGAAGCGATAGCGGTGCTCGGTGGCTAATTATTGACAAGGGCAGAGCAAGACCAGTAAAGGCAGCACTTACATGAATTGGCCAGTGGGTTTACCAGTGTGGAGGTACGTAGCTGTAGGTGGGGGTTCCTTGAGCCCTGTACGTTGGCACGGAAACTGGATGTGCTCCAATGGCGGTGTGTTGTGGGGTGGTCAACAAGGTTCCTGCAACGGCATGGAGAAATATTTAGCAAGGCTGAGAGCTCTATCAGGGGAGCGGTAGCCCGAGGGTACGATGCTGCAGACCGCATCCAAGGGGCAGGCACAGCATCAGCTCCCTTTTTTTTCCTTCTTCAGTTCTCCCAAATATTATTCTGCCTGTGAGACCTGAATCAAAGGCATTTAACTCATGCAGTTGGTATCAGCCAGCACCATGAATGAATAAACCCACCTGAAGCTCCAGCATATTTTCCATGCTACTTTGGGCCCTTAACTCATCTTTTTCCAATTTTCCTTGTCCCTAAAAGAGCAGCAGCAGAGCTAGCCGCTAACCTGCTGACATCTTCCACCTGCTGAAGGCACCGGGCTAAACTGCATCAGCAGATCACTGCAGCAATCTGAAACATCCAAGGACCAAACTGGAAGGGATGAGGGTTGCAAAAGGAGATGAGAAAAAACCCGGACCTTTCAGGGAAAATTCAGATGAGTTTTGCTACTCATCTCCCAAGGGCAGTGGAGCTCTTTTGCTTCATTTAAACCCACAGAGCCAAGAGCCTTGGGATGCAGCAGAAGGAGAAATCCTCTCCCAGCCATGAAGCAAAGGGACTGCCCAGTGCAGCCTCTTCTCTTTTAGTCTGCAGCTGATACACAGAGGGGTTTTAGGTAAGAATTTGCACAATGCCTTCAGCAAACATGGGGAGGGAGAATACAGCCCCAAACTACTCCATTCTGGGAGTAACTGGGTGCTTGCAACAATTTCTCAGTTTCTGGGTATCTCTACAAATGCTACTAATGAAATTTTAGGACATCCCACATGCATTAATTACATTATCCACTTCTCAGTATAAGCAACAGTAAATCTCTCAGAGTGGTTCTTGTCATACGCAGGCTGCAATATCTCTGCTTGTACCAGGGATTGCGTCCCATAACAAAGTCCTATTTCACAGCTAATGCAGATGCGAAAGGATGAATGATGCATTTCTTGGCATAATTCAATATCCAACCCTAAGAATTGTTAATGAGAGAAATACAGGCTTTGGAAAAAATAAAACCAGCCCATATCCTTACTTAATGTGCTATCAGTTAATTGCAGTTTGAAGCAATCCTGCACATAAAATGCAGAGGATTTGGGATACATAAACCAAGGTTAATGTTCATTTCATAAAATGAAAGCAAGACCGTAGGTATCCTAAAAAAGGAACTTGAGGATAGAAATGCAATGGTATTTGAAGATGGACAAACCTGGTTATTCCTCTACTTATGGAACAGACAGAGGAAAGAATAATGTATTTCAGGATGCAAGAGCGCATCTCTCTAGAGTGAGCCAAATGAAAGGTCTCCTCTGCTAACCTAAAAACTGAGTTAGATCAGTATCGGGAGCAAATTAATTGATTTTTGCCTGCAAAGGAGCGGTAACCAGCAAGCAAAACTAGCAGACGAAGCTGCAATTAGCTGTGTGCAAGGTGCTTCTGCAGCCACTTGCCAGATATACCCTGCAAGGCTGCAGGCAGCATGTGGGATGCATAGCGAGTTTTTCATCCAGGACAAGTCTCCTGCACAGGTTGTTTGGATATGTCCCACCCAAGAGATGAAACTACGGCTCAGCACATGGAAAGATTTTTCCCTCTTACCTGCTGACATTGCCATGGTGGTCCCAGCGACCATCCCCATGGCCACACCGTTGGTCCTGGGCGCAGCGACCGGGGCCGGATAGATGGCCGATGGGATGCTGTTGGGCTGAACCACGGTGGTGTGATGGATAACGTGAGGCTGTGCCGCGTACACTGGCTGGGTATAATAAGCTCCCTGTTTGAGAAGGGAAAAAAAACCCCCACATCATCGTCTTTGTCATTTGATTGAAAGCACAAGCCAAAGCAGTGACTTGAAGCCCAGTATTTTATTTAAAGGCGATCACCAGCGCCGTCTGCAGTGGGTGGCAGCCCGGTAACACGGACCATGCTGTCAGCAAGGAGTTAGTTACATCAGCTGGGACCGTAGAGCCTGCTGTGGAGCGAGCAGTGATGCTCTCGGAGCCTGTCCTGCCAGCTGCGGCAGCAGACCCCCAAACCTACCCCCGCACCAGACGGGACATAAGAGGTTCCCAAACCCAGCCCGGAGCGGCTCCGCCGGGACAGTCCTTCACTTCGAGACTTCATGCCCTCAGCTCCTCCAGATGTGTTGCAGAAGCAATATTAAGACGAGCAGGTGTCACACGTGGCTGCTGGTACAAAGAGCTGCCCATGGGACATCATTCAAGCACTGCCAAAGGGCTGGTCCTTCCCATGAGCAAGCTCCTGTGCCTGGAGACCTGGATAAGCAAGGATGAAGCTGAACCTGTGGACAAGTGAGACGGTCTGTGGGATGGATGAAGGCAACAGGACTGGGAGGGGGATCAGCATCATGGGGCAGAGCTCGTCAGGGACAAACCGTGCTGCCTCCGTTTGGTGGGATGAAATGGGGCCTGGACCCAAAAGACTTTGGCTGCTAGCATAGAAAATGAACAAGAGATGGAGGAAAAGGAGAAGCCATGGCTCTCAGCTGATCCCAAGGTGCTTGCTTGGGTCCAGGAAGAGTGTCGTCTTCTTGGGTTTCTGATGGGAGACAGAGGGGCTCCGAAATCCAGGCTGCTGAGACCCATGAGGTTTTGAAACAAGGTAGGAAAGACAGGTGGGAATAAAAGAAAGGAGCCAACAGAAAAAGCTCCACGTCCAAAATAATGAAGGGCCTGAAATGTGAGAGGTGCGAGGGAGAGAACTGCCAGGGGACAGGCAGGGACACCACTGATACCTGCAAACCAGGGACAATTAGAAAGATTAGAGGGTTTAAAACAATGAAGGGAGATTTCATCATGCATTGGTGAAAGCTGTTAGAGAATCTCTGAAGCTATGGATTAAGGGGAGAAGGAGATGCAGGTGAACTATTAAATTACTTGTTTCTTTCAGGAGCTACAAAGCTTGGTAGGACAAATTGCAGATGCTGAAGGGCATTTCCTTAGAGAACGAGAAGGAAGCGCTAAGATAAATTAGGCCCATGAAGAAAATGCGACTGAGAAATCAGCTGCAGAGAAGGAACATCCCAGGCGGCAAGTGCTGCAAGCGCAACGTGCTGAAAGGATCTACTAAAGCATCTCCTTCCCGCCGTTGTTCCCTTCCAGGCTGTCAAAACTCTTATTTGCCGGTCCCTGGGAAGCAGGGATGAGGAAACGGCATCTGCAAGCCCTGCTCCATCTCAGGCTTGCTGGTGGGCACTGCTAGCAGATGCCAACCTCCCACTGCGGCTGGGATGGGAGAAAAACCAGCAGGCAGGGATGGGTTTGGTCCCCAGCGGTTTATGCAACGCTCAGTTAACAGAAGAAGTGATGGCAGACCAAATTGGCAAGAGGAGATGCTCTGGTCTCAGCAAGGCATGGAGAAACCGCTCCATGAGGTTGTAGTTGCTGGAGAAGTTGGTTCTTTGACATTAAAGAGGAAGAGGAAAGCTAGGGAAGCCGTAGGGCCAGATTGCTCCAAGGAGCTCGTGGTGTTCAGTGGGAAGGGGCATCAAGGTGATTTTTGGAGGACATCTGCCCTAAACTGCATCCCTGTGGAGGATCTTGGCCACAGCACATAGCTGGAGGCGGTGGCAATGCAGGAGCAGAGAATGTGGTACTGGAAACTCATCCAGGTGCTCAGGGAGGAGCTCTTCCATGAGGACACGAATCTGGGTCATGCCTGAAGTAGCTTGTGCTGGTGAAGGTGACACAGGGGCTTTTCCATGGCAGGCGTCAGGAGGGTGATGCAAGCCAAGTGAGATGCCAACAGCCACCAGCAAGTGGACCTTGTGGTGACCCAGACTCACCTGTGCCCGTGGGGAAGAGCAGCACTGAGAGCTGGGGAGGGTGGGGAGAGGCAGCTGCAGGGACCACCCTGGAGCCAGCAAGCCCTGGCAAGTCAGGCATGTGATTTTGGGGGAAGGGACCCAATTCCCAACCTGGCCAAGCCACAGGGATGCCACCATGCTGACTCCACTGCACACCGACAACCACACAAGACCACATCTCATCCAGAGGACCCAACGGAGGAGGCAGGAGGGAGACCCCAGCATCCCAGAGACCCACCAAGCCCCACCAGGAGCACCTCCATCACACCAGGACATGGGTGCTCAGCCCTGACAGCCAAGGACAAAGCCCCGCAGGAACCTCGGGCTGTATTTACAGGCCATTGAGTGAGGCGGTGAGCTGCCGTGGCGGCTGGCGAGGCACCTACCTGGGTGTACAGGTTCTGCTGTGGATAGGCACTTCTGATGGGGTACATAGCGGTTTGGTATGGATTCGGAGATGGCGAGTAGGGAGGAGGTGCGTTGTTACTCTGGGTCGGTGGGACCTTGTAGGGAGTCCCCGCAGTGTACCCTGGCAAAGACAAGAGGAGTCCAAGTTAGGGTGAGGATTTATAGCTGCAGAGCTGGTCTAGCTGGCCCATGAGCAACCCGAGCTGCTCTTCATGATGGACCGGCTGCTCGCTGGGCATCACTCAGCACGGAGGAGACGTACCGAGATGCACCAGCATCTACTGATGGTCCATGAAACACACCAAGCTGCGACCTCCGAGTCCAGCATCCAGCCCCTGGCTAATCGATCACAGCAGCCGGGGCTGCATCCTCCACCCAGCCCAGCACTGGCTCTTCCCACACTGCCTACACTGGGCCATAGAGTTGATGAGTATTCCCAGCGGTCAAGGCATGATGAGACTCAACCAGCACTTAAATCACCTAAGACAGCAGTATCCCCACACCTACTTACCCATCTCTATACATCTACTTGATGAGAATAATGTTTTTCCTTCTCTCCTCCCCAGATTTTTGTCCTTTCACCTTTTTTTTTGCTCAGGGTGTGATGGGCAAAACCAGAATTTAATTGCTGGAGGATCTGATTTCATGGCACAGTATTGCTGTCCCCAGGCAATGACCAGAAAAGCAGCAACACCAATGGTCCAAACCTTAATATTAAGGTGAAAATGGTGGCTGCCTTTAAGTATTTCAAGGTGGACAGTGCCAAGCTCTGTTTTTTCTCTCTTGAAAGGAGGGCTGTGACCATCAGCTCACCTTGCAGGTGGGAGAGGCAACCCCAACTGATGCTTGAGCACCTTTATACCTGTCCTGCTCCCTGCAGGCTATTTGCATTAGTGACAAAAGCAGCAAATCTGCTTTATTGCCATTAAGAAAAGCCATTTGCTTTTTTTGGTGGGACGTCCCTGCACCAAGGATATACAGCACCTGAATTCCCAACCTTTAGAGGCATTTCCAAGGAAGGTGCCATGAAGTTGCCCCTAAAACATTATTACTTAAGTGCTAAATTGGGGAAAAATCCTCGAGAATACTTAAAGTTGTGTTTTAAGGGTTTTTTTTTTTTAGGGTGGACTAAAAGCTGAGCTGCTGCCATGGGATGCCCCGGACTGCATCAAGTATGCCGTGAAGGCATCAAGGTGTTGGTCACAGCTTGATGAATAGTTAAAAAAAATGGAAATGGAAAAAATCTGCTCACACAAGCAAGGAAAAGCATGTGGGCTGGGCTGGCTGGTGAGAAATGGTAGCCAGCTCTTGCAGGAGAGCTGGGAGAAATCGTCCTTAGGGCAAAGAGGCCTGGAAGACTGTGTAGGATGGAGAGGAGAAGTCAAGGCTCAGCCCAGCGTTAAGACGTCTAAACACTCAAATATAATGAACTAATTTACTCAACCAGTGTTCAGGGCAGCAATTAACGAAGGCTAAGTTTTCAAGACTGCTAATATCCCATATTATCTGCCCAGCACTGAAACAGTGTTAAGATAACAAGGAGCTTTCTAGGAACTCCCAAACAGCATGTCACCGCCTCCTGATTACTGCAGATTGGAAAAAATGTGTTAATTAAACAGCGGAATAGCTGTGACCCTTTTCCTGACTTGCATTACCAGGAGAGCAACTATCTTTAAATGAGAGATGGAAGCAGCAAGAGGAAATGCAGGTTCGAAACAGCCGAATTCACCCTAGCAGCAGAAGTGGAGACTCCTCCATCACGAAGTCCTCCAGGAACCCAACAGTATGTCACCTACAGACCAACCAGCCTCCTGTTTTTCAATCTTATGGATTTTTTTTCTATTCTGAACTCATTTTTCCAAACAAAGACCTCTTGGCATCACGCTTCATTTCTGATGGGCATCTGGAGATGTGGACCAGCTCAAGGCTGTGTGGTTTCACTGCCTTGAATGCTAACACTTGCTGCGGTTTCCTGATTGCTGAATCACGGACAATTTATCTACAATATTTTAAAAGGTATTAAGCATAATAGTCCAGGCAGATGTAATCTTCCATGTTTATAAATTGCAAAAAAATAGAACAATCTGTGGGTAAAAACAATGTGTAATCAAGTGTTAATGACACAAGATGATGGAGGTTCCTCTCAGAAAAGCATGTCTGATAGCTAATTTTAAAGCCTAATTATGACTCTCTAACACCTTATTAGGATTAGGAGGTTGGCATGGCCCGTGCTTCTGCTGCTTCGCAGTTCAGCAGCAGGCTGGGATTTTAAAAGCAATAGCGAGCCTTTAAGCTCCAACATTTATTAAAATTGCTGATTAAATCCTTCGTGCCACTCTAGAAAGCTCAACCTTATTGATCCTGCAACACAGAAGTGCCCTGAATTGTGTGGATAAATTTTTCTATAACAGCATGAAGGCTGGGGGGGGGGCGGGGGGGAAGTTCTCTGATGGATTTTGTATCACCATCTCCTCTTGTTTCCATGTGAAGGGGTCACCAAAAGCACGGTTCCTCAGATGGAAAAGGAATTGGCTGGATGGCCATGTCTGGAGTTACAGTCAACAGTTCAATGTTCAAGTGGAAACCAGTAATGAGTGGTGTACCTCAAGGGTTGGTACTGGGACCAATACTATTTAATCTTCATCAATGACATAAATGGTGGGATTGAGTGCACCATCAGCAGGTTTGCAGATGACACCAAGCTGAGTGGTGCAGTTGATAGGCTAGAGGGACGGGATGCCATCCAGAGGGACCTGGACAGGCTTGAGGAGTGGGCCCAGGTGAACCTCATGAAGTTCAACAAGGCCAAGTGCAAGGTCCTACACATGGGTCAGGGCAATCCCCAGTATCCATACAGGTTGGGGGATGAAGGGATGGAGAGCAGCCTTGTGGAGAAGGACTTGGGAATACTGGTGGATGAAAAATTGGACATGACCCAGCAATGTGTGTTTGCAGCCCAGAAAGCCAACCATGTCCTGGGCTGCATCACCAGCAGCGTGGCCAGCAGGTCGAGGGAGGGGATTCTGCCCCTCTGCTCCGATTGGGTGAGACCCCACCTGCAGTTCTGCGTCCAGCTCTGGGGTCCTCAGCACAGGAGAGACAGGGACCTGTTGGAGCGGGTCCAGAGGAGGGACACAAAAATGATCAGAGGGCTGGAACACCTCTGCTATGAGGACAGGCTGAAAGAGTTGGGGTTGTTCAGCCTGGAGAAGAGAAGGCTCCAGGGAGACCTTATTGCAGCCTTTTAATATATAAAGGGGGCTTCTAAGAAAGCTTATAGATTGGACATAAGGAGGAAATTTCTTATGATGAGGGTGGTGAGACACTGGAGCAGAGAAGCTGTGGATGCCCCATCCCTGGAAGTGTTCAAGGCCAGGTTGGATGGGGCTTTGAGCAACCTGGTCTAGCGGAAGGTGTCCCTGCCCATGGCAGGGGGGTTGGACGAGATGACCTTGAGAGGTCCCTTCCAACCCAAACCATTCTGTGATTCCATGATTCTGTGATTCTATAAAAACCAATGTGCATTTTTTCAGTAAATTCAAGCTGTGTCTAAGGAGGCTGCACTCAGCACACTCCCACCCCCGGGAGCAGAAGGCAGATCCCCTGAGGAAGACACAGGGCAGAACACGGGGCTCACGCTGCGGTGGACTGTGGGCAGAAGTAAGCAGCCGCGAGCAGCTCCGGGAGGTCCTATGTGGTTGCATGGCCCAGTTGAGTCTGACTGGTTCTGGGTGTCTGGTCCTGCTTCTGCCACAGCCCTCCACCTTGGCTCATCATCCTTCAGCTTTTTTCTCGGCTTTATTGTCCATCTGCCTTCCCTGCACCCAGAGGGCTGGAGGAACAGCTTTGGAGTGGTGAGCACGGAGACATCACAGGGGATGATGCCATGGGGTGGACACTGGCACAGGCAGCTGCCTGGCAGGCTTGCATAGCCTCTGCCAAAGTCCTGCCTGGCACATTGTCACCGCCACCACCATCCTCACCAGCCAGACAAAAGCAAACAGGAGGCTCTGGGGCAGAAACGACCATAAAATCTACAACCTTGCTCACTACTGTGCGCAAAGCTTTGTGTCTATGACCGCCCTGATGTCAACTGGAGCATTAAGCAACAAAACAAAATACCTCAGGCAAAACCAAGCTTTGAAAACCCATCATTAAAGGACAAAAAAAGCCAAAAGGCAAAGGCATGTCCCCACACTGTAGGCAAGGCCAGGATGAAGGCACCTGGGCAGCTCTTACCCAGCCTTTAAGTTCATGCATGTCTTGCCATGGTCTTTCACTGCAGGGTCACAGCCCAGTGGAGCCCTCAGCACCTTTTCTATCTTACTGGTGTAGATGTGGGGAGGTACTGAGCAGCTATTGCGTATTTGTTCGTATTTATCCCTGTTTGGCATGCGGCTCCAGTCCATACTGGTGGGCACTCTTCACCCTGGGAATAGAAGGACTCGTCTCCCAGGCTTCTCCTTGGCTCTCCTCCATCCAGATCTGACACCTTGACGATGCTCATGAGTAAGCTCTCACCTGTCTCCTGCCGCCTGGGGAAGGCTGTTCTCCCAGGAACAAAACCTGGGCTAGGTGAGATCGAGCCGAAAGACAGAACCGATTTGGGATGCCCAACCTGAAATGCTTCTGATTTTTCAGAGCCTGCGCTTGAGATGGCATCTCCCAGCAGAGCTCTGGCGAAGCCAACCGCAGCTATAAGCCTGAAGCATCTCTGCAAATCAAACCTCAAGACTTTTATCTATTAAATTTAATTTCCAAATTAAATGTGCCCAAGCCAGTCCTCTGGAAACAAGGCCAGCCTGCATGGGTCTGGCCGGTGACTGCATTATTAATCTCCTTTATCACCCACACTGGGTGGCCACAGCCAAATTTTGCCCCCAAACCCTTTCCTACCCCAGTATCTGCTCTTGCCCTCTCTGATTTTGAGGGAGGAATCTCACCTGCAGCAGCCCAGAGGAGCAATGGGGAGGAGAAATCACATCCAGGCATGGGTGGAACTCCAAAGGAATTTTGCTGAATAATATCTAGGTTTCTACTGATTACAAGCTGAGATTTTCCAAACACTTACAACTCGGTCAAATCTGGTCTGCCGTGAAATTAGGTGCGATGCAAAGCCTATGCACCATGTCAGGCATACAGCCCCTACCCCAGAATTGTAGGGACATCCCTCTTCAAAGAAAAAATCTCCCAAAGGCTTTTAATAGATTTATTTTTTAATAATTCTTTTAATCAAAAAAAGAAACTATTTCTTCCTCTCATCTCATTCTGTAAATGATTTAATTTAGCACAAGAAGGGAGCCTGCAGCAGACAGACGGTAAGGAACGCTTCAACCCGCACATGTGCATGGGCGCAGCAGTCCCAGCCTTGTAAATATGGCCCGCAGAGAGTCACTTTAAGATACCTTATATTTTTTTCTCCAAATACGACTTGGAGTTTCTCCAGGTCCCGGGGGGTGTTTGGAAGGTTAATTTTGCATTTTGAATGTAGGACTGGTCCCACCTCACGCTTGCAGCACGCCCCATGCTAGCCATGCCCCAGCTTTAGCAGGCAACATGAGGGCAAAAGCAGGCAAGAACAGTCAGGCAGGGGCCAGAGGACACCCCACATGCCAGGGGAAGCACTGGGGGCCTTATCGGGGAGTTTATCACCCTTCCTGGAGGCACTATTTGGCCTCTTAGGGGATGAGATTACAAGGCTCCTCCTGGAAAAGCCTGTTTGATGGCGATCCATAAGCAGCATCTCCTCCCCCACCTCTGCTCAGCCAGTTTGAGTTAAAAGGTGGGAATTTCACCCGGGTTCCTTGAAAATCACGCTTTATTTTGGAATTGTCTCTTTCACTTTTAGGGGAATAGGAAAAAAATCTCCCTTTGGTTTTTCTGCACATACCACTCTGCTCAACCACAGAGCATCATCACTACAGACACACACCTGCAAACAACCTCAGGTTGCTCCTGAGGACCAAACGCTCAGCTAAAAGAGGCTTTCACCCTTCTCCACTTGCCTTCCTCCTCTGAAGGAGCTCTAGGAGGGTCAGTGCTCTCCTTTTCATGCTCCTTTGTGGTTTTAACACACGGGAACAGAAAGGAGCAGGGATGCTACCTCATTTTCAGATGAAAAAACCCAAGAGCTCTGCAAAATTTCATCCCAGAAGGGAATTGCAGCAGCAGCACAATGCTCCCACTGGGCAGCTCTGGGCGCAGAAGGTGATGGATCAGCTCCATGGTGCCAGCAAGCACCCCCAGGACCTGCAGCACCCTCACCTCTGTCAGGGCTCAGCACTCAGGGAAGGACACACGGACGCACAGACATGAATGATCCCATCCGTTTGCTGATCCCAAATAACCCCATCCCCAAATAACCCACAGGAGGGGAGGCAAATGGGCACAAAACAGCCAAGTAAAACCCCAGAAGAAAAGGTTTATTTACTGAATGCTGCAGAAGAAGCCTGATAAGTTCTGTTCTCGGTCCCGGTGTCCACCGGGAGGTGGAAGGTGCCCTCCGTGGCACAGGAGGAAGAGGTCTGTGGCCAGGCTTGCTTCATCAGAAGTGTAGCTTGAGTGGAGACAGAGAAGAGGTGTCACACAGAGCAATGAAGATACGACTTCCCGCATTTATGTCACATTTGAACCACTTTGCTGCTCTCTTCCTTTCCCTCCCACCTTTTAAGGACAACTATCCGTAGGAATTTCACACCATGGTTCCTCTGGCCCCACCTGCTCCCCATGGAGGGATGGTTTGCACAGCACATTGCAGCAAACCAGTTACCTACCCCAAACAACTGGTTTCCAGAGCTAAGCAACCTGCATGAAGATCTACACGTGGGGGACGTGGCCAGCAGAGTCACCATTCCTCCCCAGATACCACCAGTCACCTCTGTGCATAGGGACCAGTAACAGCTGTCCTTGACCTTGACCTTGTTGTGACCTGGAAAACAGGCCGAGCCTGATGTGCAAGGCATTTTATTCTCAGTAAAACTCTTTGAGATGCTTGCATGGCAGGTACCACTAGTGGACAAGGTACTGGTCACTGTGACCGTCCCATCACAGTGTTAGCTGGTCCTTAGAAACTCTGGAAAGGACAGTCAGCAGAAGCAGGACTTTGGGCAGGTTGCACTGTATCCCAGTTTGCAGAAAAGTATTTATAAAGCCAACCAAGATAATCCAGAAGAATCTCAAGAGCCAAATCTTGTGGGATTTGAGAAGGGACCAACAGAATTCAGTCATTTTGTGGGTCATAAATTTTCTGAAAGAGGAAAAGGTCTTACACTAACTGCCATAATGCACCTGTGTATGATGAACCAGCACTGGCTATACCTTTATCCTATATCCAAACGCATTGCCAATGCTCATCTAAGAAGGACTGCTGTTACACCGAAGGCGCACCTACGGAGAAGGCAGATCACCAACACAAGCTGACAACCAGACTCCTTCCCAAAGTTGGTGCCTCTGAGAAAGGCTTAACAGGTCTTTTTCTTTTTTTTTTTTTGTCCCCTGAAACTATGGATCTGTCCTAACTTTTTGTTCCAGACTAATCTCAAATGGTGGCCCCCACCATCCTTGGTTTAAGTCCCACCACCTCCCAACACGAGTGCATATATCTTTTGAAAGCCTCAGCCAGTTATTACAGCTCGCTGCTCACCAGCTTAACAAGCTGCTCTGGCTGTCATTATGAAAGAAATAAGCTCCAGGTTTTCCATGTACTGCAGTATATACTTTGCACACCCAGCTACTAAGGAAAGAAAACCAAGCGAGGGTTGATCGATCCTCAGCAAGCCACTCAGTGATTAGACCTCGCTGTGAAGTTGTGGAGGATAAAGGAGGTAAAATGATGCAGCTGCTGGAATCAAAGAAAATCACTGATTGATGGCTTCTTTAAAGGTATTGTTTGTGAACGCAGAAGGTAGACTGTTGAGACGCTCTCTCTCCACCAAATTCTGAATTTCCCAAGATCTCTAGAAGGTTGGAGGTCAGAGCACGTCCCTGTCGTCCCCTTCTCCCTGTGCGGGTGGCGTTAGGGACAGGTAGGATTTCCCTAGAGATGTGGTAAAGGGATTTTGGGTCAGATCTGCCAACTCAAGAGACTTCTGGAGGAAAAAAACAAAGGTGTAATTTTGTAGGCGGGGAACTGTTTCTGATAGCAGAACCAGCCAAGCTCAGACAAAGCAGTCTGGGGCAGAAAGAAAGAAGAGATCTTTGGGAGGGACACCACAGCCCACAGGAGGAGGTGGTGGGTTCCTTATACTACCGTCAGCCCCAAGGGCATCACACATGAAGACATTTTAAAGCTGCACTTCATGATTCCTGCTCCCAAGCAAGTTCCTGCCCCCCGAGGGTCTCGGCGCTAAGTCCCAAAGAAGGGACTTCATGACTTGGTCAGGACTTATAAACCTTTCTACAAAGGCAAGAGCAATGATGTTTCAAACCCCTCCAATGCCTCCATGTCTGCTCAGACACTTAATTAACCATCTCTGAAGATCCAACTGTAAATCTGGAATGCCACAGGGCTGGAAGTTGCGGATGAGCGATTGAGGAAGCCAAGGAGGAATCAGCACTGGTGCCACAGCCCGTGCCAGCCGCAACACAGGTCCTCATGGCTGGGCACCACTGCCCAGAGAGAACGGAGAAGCACTACCACAGGTCTGTTGGTCCACCAAAAACTCGTGAGACCACTCTCCTAGGGTGGGGCAGAAATACAGGAGCGTGGAGGACACCCAGCAGTGATGCTTTAATGGACAGCACGGCAATCATCAGCTGTGTGGAGATGTTTATGGGCGCAAGATCTGGCCGGATGGTGCTCCGCTGCTGGAGACATGGAAACGTGCTCCTCCCTCCTCACTTTCTCCCAGAGAAAACTAGGAGGTTTGTGGGAAGTGAGGGACTCGGAGCACAATTTCTCCTCCACTCAAGCTCTGATCATGTTCTGCTCTGAGCCTGCACCCCCTCCCAAAGGTTTGTGAGTTATTAAGGATTTCCAAACTGCCTTGCTTTATTTTCCATGGTGCACTGCACTCCTGAACATCACACTGGAGAGCTAACTCCCAGCGCTGAGACAGAAACACTCTTTCACTTACGCTTTTATTCAAAATCAGATTCATTTTTGCCTCTCGATTTCACAAAGGTTTTAATCTCCAAGACTGATGAGACAATTTATTTAGATGTTACGTGAATCCTTGCTCTGCAGTTTCTCCTCTCCACATTAGACCTACCAAAAAACCAAGGTAATCTGGGCTGGAGATGGCTGGGAGCTTGCCATAGCTATACATGTTCCTTATATTAAATCATGGATCCTCGGAGAATCCATCACTTAAAACTACACAAAAGGTGAACCAAGGAGGCTTCTAGAAACATTAATATCTCCTGGTCCTTTGCAAGAGCTACAATTCATAGAGGTTACAATCCAGCCATGACTATCTAACATAATTTAAGATCTATCTCCTACCAGTGTCTTCTGGATTTGGTTTAACCTCTTGCCTGTGATGTTCATTGAAAAATAAAGAGCTTTTATTTATTGTCTGTTGGATCCCTGGCAAATCTAGTGGTGGGGACTGGGCAAGCAATGTGAACTGAGCAGGGGTCTCTGCAGCGCTGGGACTGGTCTGTCTCCCCGCGAGGACCTCTAGCCAATGTGCTAATGTTCAAGACATACTTTAAGTGGAAAAGAGAAGAACATGAACCAGACATGCCTGAAGAAAATTCTGTGAATTATCTGGAGTACAGAATCACAATGAAAGGATGAAGCAGATGATACAGTATATACGGTATATATATTTCTTGCTTCTCTCTGCCAACCTTATTTGTGATGGATACAGCCTTGAGCCTCGTACAAAGTTTGCAATAAGCTTAATTCCCCAGGCAGTCCCATTACCATGAGCCTGAGTGCCCCAAAACGGTGGGAGCACTTGTTCTTAGAAAGCCTTGCAAGGCTCTACAGGATGTTCACCCCACCAGACCCCAAGATACCCACCTTAGGGGACCCATTGATGCCCCTAAATAGTCGGTGAGCATCTACAGAGGATGGTTCAGAGCACTTATGTGGGGAAAGATGATGCCTATGCTTTCCCTCTGCAGAGCAATGTTTCCTCTGGGGAGGACCCAGAAGCAGGAATGAGGGATTGGAGCCTCCATCCTGTCCCACAACATCCCCGCAGAGACCCCTAATTTCCGAGGGTGATTTTAGAAATATCTGTTCTGCTCTGGAAGGGCACTGAAGTAATGGATGCAAAGCATTATTCTCCCCTGCATTATTAATAAATGCAGTTAAAGCATAAGCCAGCCTCCGTGCAAAAAGTGTGTGCCCTACTTTCAGGAAAATAAAAAGGCATGCTTTAATGAAGGAAGTTAAAACAAAACAACCATCTCAGGAAGACAGAATGCCTGGGAGGGAACATGCACCAGGCCTAATGAAGACATACATTATTATTTTTTTTTTTAAATTGGCGTGCCTCGTGTCTCTGCAGCAGAGTGATTTTAGGCGCTCATTTTTATATACTTGAAAGGAATTTTTTTTAATAACACTGCCCTCAATAACCAGGCTTATTGCAAGCATAAGAGTTTGCAATGCCAGTGTTTTGCAGTCATCTTGTAGCCTGCCTTATGTCTCTCCCTCTAACAGATATGGAAAACCACCAACAGGAAAATCACACAAGGCAGAAACTTGTGTTGTTTCAATGAATCAGGATGGAAAGAAATTAATTCCCTTGCTTGATGTAGGGCTCCTTTGGCTGAGCTTTGCAAGCAATGCAGTGGCTGGCTGTTATCTATGCCTTGGGAAGGGTTGCTTTGAAATAAACTTGGTGCTCAAACATTAGCAAATATTCACCAGATACCCGACATTGACAGAGGGAGGAATCAAGACTGGTTCCAATTATCATTTTCCTTTCCTTTCCTCATGGCTACTGGACTAAGGGGACTCCGGAATTCTCCAAGCTCCTCTCCATGTCTCCTTATGCTTCTCAGATTGAGGCAATTACAAAGTTTGGGGCACTAAATCATTTACTTTTCCATGTGGATCCCGGGGTCTGGGGAACCATGAGGTCAACAGAAGAGCATGAACATGGCTGACTTCCAGCGTGCATCAGGGACTGTAGCGTGAGTGTTTGGGAGGACATCAAGGATGAAAGCAGATGGCACATAAGTAGCAGGTATTTGAAAAACAGACTTTGAAAATTAACCACCACTGATGCACTTCTCTTCAGTTGGGGTGAACCACACCAAGGGCAGGAGCAGAGGGCAGTCTTCATCTTCGCTCGGTGGTTCATCTCTTGCTAAGATTTTGCATGGAAGCCAAGCAAAACTCATGAGGTCTGGGGCAAGAGATACCTAACCAGAGAGAGCTTGTCTGAGGAACACCTTTAGGGTGGACCAGAGAGGGTGATCAAGGTTGTACACAACAGTTTCTTTCAAGACTGACAGCTCACTTCCAGTTACATCCCACAAATTCAGAAGTCACAAGCAAAGGATGCTCTTCCCACCCTTTTCAACATCTATTCCAAATAGCATTAAGAGGCACATTTGCCTGGTTAACCTACATATGGAGAATCAGATAACCAAACA